GGGGGGGGGGGGGGTACTCTTTTGTTTTGCGTGACATAGCGGTTAGACCATTGGCCACGCGTCCTCGATAGCACGGAGCACTGTTCCCATAGGACCGACCACCGGGTGGTATCATACGCAATCTGCGGACGGTACCTATATCCCGTACGCGAGGCCTTCACACAGAGTGGGTAGCCTCGCAGCCTGCTAAGGGCCAGGTCATGGGTTCGAGTCCCGACAGAGTGAGTTTTTTCCGGCATATTAAATCCTGGTCTCCGTTGAAAGCGACGCGCTGCAAAGCTCGTGAGTAAACTTGATCGACTTCAAAAGTCGCGAGGGAAGGGATTGCTGTACCCTTCTCGCGATAAAAATATCTCTGGCAGGAACCGCACGAGGGGGTTCAACACCCCTCCTATGTGACCTCGGTTGGGTCTAGCTGGTAGAAGTGGAGGATAGGGACCAGAGGGGCAGACGACAGAGNGGCATATTAAATCCTGGTCTCCGTTGAAAGCGACGCGCTGCAAAGCTCGTGAGTAAACTTGATCGACTTCAAAAGTCGCGAGGGAAGGGATTGCTGTACCCTTCTCGCGATAAAAATATCTCTGGCAGGAACCGCACGAGGGGGTTCAACACCCCTCCTATGTGACCTCGGTTGGGTCTAGCTGGTAGAAGTGGAGGATAGGGACCAGAGGGGCAGACGACAGAGTCCAATGATGGGCGAACAAAACCACAACACACACACACACACTGGCACTGACGTCTTTTAATTGGTCAGCCGGTTAGCGCGGTCGATGCTAATAATAAAAACAAACACACACACACACACTGGCACTGACGTCTTTTAATTGGTCAGCCGGTTAGCGCGGTCGATGCTAATAATAAAAACAAACACACACACACACACTGGCACTGACGTCTTTTAATTGGTCAGCCGGTTAGCGCGGTCGATGCTAATAATAAAAACAAACACACACACACACACAATTCATGGCATTTACAAGTGTTTTGTGTTTTCAACCGCACTGAGACTGGCGTCTTTCATTGGGCAGCCGGTTAGCGTGGTCGATGGTAATAATAGAGACATACACATACACACACACGACGCTCAGTCACAGCGTCCCAGATCTTGGCCTATACAAGCATTGTATGTTTTTCACCGCCCTGAGACGGCCGTCTTTTCAACGGCCAGCCGGTTGGCGCGGTCGACGATAACAAAAAAAGAAACACGCACACACAAACCTTGCTTGAAGAACTCCGACGCGGGCATCGCCGTCCCGTAGCCCCCCCGCGTGCCCCCTCCCTTGGCCCCCACGACCCCCGCCTGGTGGATGCTCTTGAGCTCTCCGATCTCGTGTCGGAGGTCCACCAGCAGCTGGCGCTGGTTCTCCAGTTCCTCTCGCGTTATTTTGCTCTGAGGGCGGGGGGGGGGAGGGGGGCGGGGTACTCATAGTCGTGCATGCCGTAGTCGTTAGACCATTGACCTCGCATCCCTACAAAGCCGGGACGGAGCACGCCGGGTTCTCACCGGACCAGGCTCTCACAT